TTGTCAGCTTTAGTCTACAGAGTATTTTTGCCTAGGAGACAGAGTCCTACCTTAGTTAGACTTGACCCAAAGTAACTAACCTCTTCACTAAAATTTCTCAAAAGTGCCTTGGAAACAGTTTAGGTAAATATTATTTGTCTGGCTCCTTCATCAGTTAACACAGAACCACTGCTGCAAGGGCAACACAATCTCTAGTCCACTCAGATGGAAGGGCAACATCTCAAGTCTTCACCTAAGCTGGTTCCAAGAAATTTTGCAGCCAAAGTTTTAGACCAGTTTAGTTCTCGTTCAGACGAGTTTAGTTCTTGACTAGTCAGTTTTTCTAGACAGCAAATGCTTGAGTCATCTGAGTGAGCCATATCCTCAGGGCTGTAAATTCAGCATTCCTTAGGTAAATGTCAAGATCTAAAGCTGGAATGAAGAACATAACCTGCACCAGAGTCCATAGAGGAAAGAGCTCCTGTAGAGTCCTAGAAGGAACAACAACACTCTGCCCCAGCTCCTATTTGACAGGTAGGCAGAGAGAATCTAGATACATCCGTGTCCATGTTTTACTGAATCTGAGTTTAAACAAGTTTGGTAAGTGGTTTGATAAATATTCTATTTCATATTACTCTAATCCTAAAAAAAAAAAAAAAAAGTATCATGAGACATGACCTTATCAGCAAGATTAAACATCAAAACAGATGCATGGTCTTGAGATGAAGTGAAACATTTACTCAGAGTAGCTTACAGGATGCAATCAACTTCTTACTTTAAAATATGGCAAGTTAACAGCTCTCATTGTGGCCATTTGTTCAGTACAGTATGATGGCATAAGACCACCTAAGGACTGCAAGATAAATTAAAACTCAAATGTGGAAAGGACTACTGAAAGTTATCTACATTTACAGTTCAATCACACATTTTTATTTAACATCAGTATACAGAGGACAACCCCAGCAAGTTATTTTGTAATGTCAAGTATTTAGTAAAGTTCTTCAGCTGTAACAGTGACAATAGAACAGCTAAAAATAAGCAGTATGAAACAAACAGGATCATCTTAAAATTATAAATATACGAACAATACTTCTTAAAGCTTAATTATTGCAACAGTTAAATTAACAATAGTTCATGTTAGAAAGGCTCTATGAAATTTATTCAAGTTGTCAAGAAATTAGATGGAAGTGTAAAAAGGAAATACATATGAATTTTACTTTTGATTTTCACTAAAGGTAGTCAATACAATTTTGTACAGTATCACCTAACATGTCAATCTTTAACAAACTCCAGTATACAGAATTCATAAAATGCAGAAAAAAATAGTTTAATCTTTACATGTAAATTGACAGTAAATTAACTGACACAAATATTATTGTAACATAAGCAGGCCAGCATTTTAAATATTAATTTAGTAGCTTTGTGTTGTTAAAGGGGCAGACATATACAGTCATTCCAAGTACATAATCAAATTTTAAGAGGTGATAATTCAGAACGTGGGTTTTCTAAAAAGTGTTTAGTAAAAGTCATGTTATTTCCTAATCCAGACATCCTCATCATAAAGCCTTCACAGGGTTATGATCTCTCCTGGCTTTACTGGAGCCACTAGTCACGCCTTCTCACACACGCACAACACACATACCTTGCTATAAATATCACACCAGTGTTCTAGGTTTAAATTCACCCTGATAATGCGGGTATGCTATGTGCAACTTTGCTATTATGCACATTACAGAAAGCTTCAAATTTCAGCATGGTAACCTGAAGTCATATAGCTGTGTTTCAGTTTTACTATAATCATCCCTGAAGTTTATACAGATACCGTATCACGTTGAAAGAAATCTATTTGATAGTACTTAAATACCAGCAATTGAACTTCAATTGTAATGATGAAATGCTCCTTTCCACTGAGGAAGAATTAGTACGTATAGCTGCTCATCTCACTCAAATATAGTACATGAATGTTTAAGTACTTTCACTAAAACAGAAGTCATACTAAAACATGATACTGTACTACAATTGTAGTTAACTAGAAAATTCAAGGATGTTATAAATTAAGTCTAAGGTTTCCTGTACAATAAGTCAAATAAATAAATTCCATGTGCATTTGTTTTACAAAATGGTAGCATGTTTATCTTGCTAGGTTATACACTGCCATTTCACCTGGTCACTCCTGGCCAATCTTACCTTGAGCGTTCTCACAAAGGAAACAACTCATCAGCAACTTTTATTTAGCTAAAATGCAGTCACTGTACAAGATGGTGAATAGTTAATTCTGAAGTCAAACACAGAAATCGTATCGTTTCTCTGACCCCTTAGTTCAGAGAAAACTTGTTTTGCATACCCAGGTATCACTTTTGGTTTTGGCTGTTCTGGGGTTTGAGGTGTGTGGGGTGGGGGGGTTAATTGCTTCTGCAGGTCCTGTAATTCAGTTTGAAGCAGCTGTAAAGACAACACGTGAAGTTTACCCTGGTTCCTTTAAAATTCTTCTTCTGCATTTTCAGATTAATACAACAGTTCTATAGTCCCATTTAGGTTTCCCATCAGGGGCTGGGAAAGACAGAGGGGGAGAGGAGACAGCGAACTGTCACCATAGTGAGAAGAAAGGTCATACTCTTGTTAAGGCAATCTGTTTTTCTCACCATCCCTGAACCTTCTTCCTCAAACAGGCTAACAAAGAGTGAGAGTAAAAAACTGAAACTAGTGAAGCCTGAGCCTCACTCAACTTGTTTCTGACTAAATTTTGCCATTCACTTGACCTCACTCTGATTGGGAGTTAGTTGAACAGCTACTGAAGTGCGATGCCAGAATGGTACATGCGGTGAGGAAGCCCAAGGTATGATTGTGCTTACACTGAGAGAGGAATTTGGAAAGTTTATAACAAACTGTCAGGACACTCTGTAAGCACTGTGCAGCCTATCAGCTATCATAAGGATCACGGCTGAAGAGACACTTCTGGATTATTTTTTCCCCCCCACTAAGGGCAGCACCAGCCCAACCAGAAAAAGAACTTGTCACACACTGTCCAATTATCCAGCGTGCCTTTTGATGGCTGTTAAAAATGAGAGGGAAACGTAGCCCTGGCTCAATGGAAATTATGTTAGACACTGCAAGCCTGCTTCAGTTTTCCATCCAGTTTTTTCTTTAGGCTGTCAGTGGCATGAATTTAATGAAGGCCTTTTGAAGCAATGACAGAAGAAGCAGCAAGATTCAGAGGCTTTCACTCTAGAGTTGGCAGACAAAAACATGACCGAGTTTTAAGATCACTTGGGGACCCATATTTCAAAAGGAAGACTAGAAATAGCAGCTTTAAACCCCAAATTAATGGAATAGCCTAGGATAAAACAGCTGGCAAAACAGAAATGAATGGTATATAACCCAGTAAGAAAGACATTACCATGAGTGTTTTATACTTTGACAATTTTCATTAAATAAAATTATTAAGTGCTTTCCTATAAACAAAAAGGATGCTCATAACGTCTTTCTGGCACAAATATTTTCCTACCAAAGCCCTGTAAACATGCCACCAAAATTTACTTTTTACCAGCAGAGTGAGCTCATTAGAAATGCAAGTGAAATCAGAAAAATTAATTTTAAAATTTCTAAGTAAATACTTCCTAAACAATATGGCATTTACATCAGTGTGCAATATATTAATTTTGAAAGTGATAACTTCAGCATGAAAATTACTTACCTGTAATTAAAGTTTTCCATATTGGCCAATACATAAATCCTGATTTTTTGGTACTGCATACTTTATCTCTGAAATATTTGAAATGTCATATTCCAAATCAAAGTCAATACACAAAAATATTTAAGTTATACCCAGTTTAAAAAAAACCCACCTCAGTCACTGAAAATAAGTTTAACGGTGTAGTGTTTAGTAGTATGCAAAAGTTTTAGAACAAAAAGAAAATACAGGTCACAACAGAAATCTGAGGCACTGCTGTATGTGTATAAAGTTAATTCATAAGATGTAAATTGCACCGACTCACAGAAGTGATAACTGCTTTAGTATTTTCATTTAAAGACAAACATTTTAAATAGTGTAGTGTTTTGGGGGGGTGCTTTTTTTTTTTTTTTTTTTAATTAATGCTGGATCTTTAGTTTTTAGGCAAAAAGTACTTTTAGGTAACACCTTCCTCCCTTGTCCCCAGAAAATGGTTTACAATTTTTAGTTTCAGATTTGACCTTTGAATATGCATTAAGATGCAGAGCAGACATAGCTCTCTATACACACCTACGTTGTGACAAATTTGTTAACATCTCAAAGAAACTTAGAAACTTGCATTATACAAACAGTTTTAAGAAAAATTATTGTGTTTTACTTAAAAGTTCATAGGATTGAAGATGTGGTATATAAATAGATGCAGTACCTCCACTTCAAAAGTCTGATTTATGAACTAAATGGTTAAAACCTAGTGAACATCAAATTTTCATTTAGGTTGCCCAATGTGGCAATATTCAGGTATTACCAGATTTTTTCTTTTGCTTCAGGTGATAATCTACATCCCCTTTCAGAATTCTTCACAAAAATAATGTCTCTTTTTGTTAAATCAACTCTGGTAATGTTTCCATAGCTGTATTCCTTTGAAATGTTGCTGGCAAACAAAGCTATTGTAGCACAAAGTACTTTTTAATAAAATCATCACCACATTTAGCTTAATTCAAAATTTAGCTTGCTATGTATTGGACAGAAGAAAAATAAAGTTTTTATCTGTGTTCAAGTGCATTAACAACAAGAGTTAAAACTAGTAATGTATTTTAATGAAGGTTCAACTGATAGAACAGGTGCCATCAAAAAGCACGAGCTTGTCAGTGATCAAGTTGCCTAACAAAACTGACAGTAACGTAACATTGAAACTCCTTAGGGAAAGCTTGCATGATTTTCCCTAAATGAAAAAATACATAAATCAAAAATTAGAGTTCCTTGATAATACTGATTCACAATTTCAAGAGCACAAACTACAGTCAGTAAAGGGCTCACAAATCTGTGCATAAAATATTTGAAGTTGTAATAAAAAGAGGTTTTCCACTAATGGCAGGCCACCAGAGAAGAGTACAGAGGAACAAAACACTTTGGTTTTAATTTTTTCAGAGGCTCGTATTTCTCATTAGACTTAAAAGCAGCAGCTTTCTGTAAGCTACTCTCATTGGGAGTGCTGTATTTTGTAGAAAACATTAGCAGGATTATAATTATTTTAGTGATTGACAGGTTTTACTTCAATTTTTACATAAATAGCTTTCACCATATTGTGGTTATGCTTATATAAGAACACTGATCGATAGTTTAGATGCACAGTATTTATTTCTTCTGCTGGAAGGCAACTATGCTTAATAATTGTATCCAAGACACTTCAAATCATTCAGAAATATGGCATGCAGTATCCAAAAGTATGGCTCTGAGGATTTTTTTTTTTTTTACATTAAGCATAAAGAAATTTTATATTCAACATTCATTTATATTTCAAGAAAACTACCTATTCAGAGTTCTACTTCTTTGATGCAGCATTAAGGATTAAAACTTACCACTTTACCAGGCCTTGCCCATGTGCAAATAAATCCCTCCTGACAAGCAGTGACTATACAGTCTTCAAGAAAAATTAACACAGTCAGTCTTTCATGTGCTATCTTTTTACAGATAAGAGGCTCTAACAAGGGAACATCTTCCATTCGGGGACAGAGAGGTGTTCCCAAAGTTTTAGCTGGGTCCGTTTTGGTTTTAGTAACTAGGTTCAGTTTGTCACTGCTCTTGCTAGATATATGTCCCATGCTATGATTTCTCTTGTGATCTTTTTCATGGTGTCTTTCCTTCCGATCGTGTAGCGATAAGGTTGCAAATTTACTAACGCCAGAAGCAATGGCACCATCCATGACACTGCTTTTGCTGCCAGCATTTGAGACTGCAGAGTGTGGAAGGCTGTTTGACCGTGGAAGAGGAGGGGGTACAGAGTTTCCAGGTGTCGTGATACTGTTTCCATTACTTCCTGGGTTAGTTCCACCACTTCCAGCAGGTGGACTTGTGGCATTCATGACATTGGTATGTGTCCTTGCTCTTGAGAGCGGTTGGTGGGGGAAGAGGATATCTTCTGTGAGATCCCACAAACAGAGCTGTGTGTCCTGGCCTACTGAACCAAATCTGTACGTGACACTTACTGGACGACTGTCTGTAGAGTTCCTTTTGGATAGCCTAGATTGTGTACTATTTGCTCGATCTCTGCCAAAATGAAGGTCTTGGAAATCCTCATCACTTCCACTAAATTCCATCGGGTCACTCTCTTCTACGCTAGTGGTATATGGATCAAACGCAACAACACTGACCCACGATTTATGTCCGTGGCCTCTTGCTATTACTCGGCAGTCCACGAAAGACCAAACTGTTACCAAGTCATCCTCTCCACCTGTCACTATGTATTTCCCATCAGGACTCCAACACACACACAGCAGTCCTCCAAAGTAGCTTTTCATTGTACCATGCAATTCCACCGAATCAAAGTTAAACACACGAAGAAAACCATCCTGGCTCACACACGCCAAGAACTTCCCATCTGGGGAAAAGGCAAATTCATTCAGGGCACCCTCACCTACTGTCCATTTAAGCAGAGGGTTTCTTGTGGATTTACTCTTGCAAGTGTGAACTGCAAAACTTTCTCCTTGTTTAAGTAGCTGGTAGTGCGGGGCTGTGGTACCACAAGTGTGCTCCACGTTATACAAATACATATTGCCACTGGAATGAGCTACTAGGAAAAGGCTTTCCGAACCTGGTACCCATTTTACACAGGTTACTCTGGACTTGTCTATTAGTCTCTGTGAAAAACAAAGAAGATACACATCAGAAAGTCTGAAAATCAAAGTTTTAATGATTAACTGTAAATCTGAGCTTTCTGGGGGGATGGGGAACAATACTTAACCAAAGAGAACTCACCTTCCTAGAAAGGAGCTATGTTACTGTATTTGCAAAAACTTATCATCTTATCAGGCAGTAAAGAAGAAATTCTTTTTAGACAAAGTGCTAGCAAAGGTTATTATTACGGTCCAGTCACATTCCACAAAGAACACACTTCAATTAAGCTAACCTGTTGTTATGAATCTAAAGGTAGTGTTCTTAGGTTTATTTTTTACTCCGTAGGTTGAAGAGTGTGAAAAGGAAACAATCAAAAAACCACAGAACGAGCTAAAGGGAAGAAAGGCTGTACTACACAGCAAACAGGTTACAATCAACAACAGTAAATTCAGACTTTGGTGCTAGCTGAAATCACAAATAAAATCCAACCTCTGAAAGAAGAAAGAGAGGCTTTGGGAGCCTTTACTGGCTTTCACTGATTCAGGGATCAAAAGCTACACAGCTACAAAAGCAGTGACCCTGGTACCATGTAGCTGGAAAGTTAGTAGTTAAATGCACGTGGTTCAGTGAACTCAGGCAGCTTCACTCTTCACCTGGGAATCCCCACCCTCCAATTACTTTCCACTCATTAGCCAAGGACCTGTCAATACCCTGAGTTACCACCTGATTAAGAAGTTTCCTTTAAAGAAAAACATTTAAATAGAGTCCATCATTGCAAAAGAATGAACACACACATTAAACAAACATTCCTGATCATAATGTCTTCAGCGCTGTAAGAACTGAGAGATAAAGTTTAACTCCTTGAGTTTGCCCGTGTAGTTCTGGTGGACTTTCTAAAACTTAAATAGTCGCCCATGGCATCACTCAACAGCAACTTGGATACAATTCTTTACATGCACATTCAAGATTTATATTTGGCATAGACTGATTATAGGCTGAAAGAAGAGCTGATCTACACAAAAGGCAAGAATACAAATACAAAGAGCCTAAAGAAATATCAGAACAAGTTACAAAAGCATTAAAAAACAAAGAAGTAAAACAGTCCCCCCAAAACCTTACTATGCTGTTTATCACAAACAAAGCACCACACTAATGGATGATGCACTGACTGTTATCCACTCCGGGCCTGTACATATCACTGGAAGCAGCACCTGGTCATTTCAGATTATACTTTTGTGTATACTTTTGCTGCTGTCAACCTCAGTGTAAGGCCAGGAAGCCTCTCTTCTGTAATTTCTCATTGCTTAGAAGTTAGCCATTTTGTACTTCAGAGCTGTAACTTAATCTGGCAACTATTCCTCAAATGCAGTAGCTTTAAAATAACATATTCTTAGCTTCTGTTGTGATATTTTAAATAGTTTGTCATATGTCCATTATACCATGATATATATCATTCATGTCTCAGTAATGATGACATCAGAAATATCAGACAAAGTTACCTGGTCCACACCAAGAGAACATGGACAGGGAACATCAGCCCAGCTGGCCTGCTACAGGCAATAGTCTTCCAATTACAAAACTACTGCTAATATGGCAACAAAGTGACATTTCTTGTTCTCCTCTATTAGAGCAGCTCAACCTGACATACAACCTCTACTCATAAGAGCAGTTGCTCAACTTTTATACTAGAAATGGCATTTTAAGCCCATAATCATGTTGAGCTACGTGATCTTAAATACTGTAGAGAAATCCTGCAAATCTGATTTTGACCTCAAGGAGACTATGAACAAAACAGAAGATTGCAATCTGCAATGAGAACAGATTAGCTCAAAGAGACAAGATGCAGAGAGATTTTAAGATGGTATGTAGCAAGTGACAACTCATTCCCTTCTCAACCAGCAGAGCTTTAAATTCAGAAAGAAGATAAAAACTCTGAAGTTATGACTTTCTAAAGTTTTAAAAGCTTTCAGCTGGGCTCACACACTTCTGCAGTACAACAAAACAAGACCTGAAGTCAGTATGACCAGCAGATGCACGACAAGAATGGACTGAATGCAGTATGAAGCAAATCAGTGGAGTAGCTGGGATAAGGAGATTATATTCAATTTGGTGGAAGAATAGTAAGTGAAGAAACTTCTATCACCAGTCAGGAAGGCAAACCAAGATTATCTTGGCAGACATATTTTGAACAAGATTGAAGGGACAAAACTATAAGCACAGGCCACAAAGGAGCGAAAAAAATGAGGCAATCAAGGAATATGCATTAAGGTCTGACAAAGAGCTTTGGCAACACAGGTATAGGAAAAGTTTATTAGGGAAAAAAAAAAAGCAGCTTAAGGCTTTGGATTAAATTTTTAAAAAGAATAAAAAACAGTATGAAAGAAACATAATTAAATTGGCTAGCTTGAGAATAACCATCACCTGGAAACAAGTAAATCTGTGATGTATACTTGGTTGGTTTTGGGAATAAGAAAATATCACTAACTTAATTCTGACACAGCTAGAAGGAATACCACTGTTGATACAGATCGATTTAGTTAGGCAGCCACAAGCTGCAGAGTATCACTCACCTCAGCCTTTCAAGTCCCTATTGTCTTCTACATCAATAGAATTAAAAAAAAAAAAAAAAAAAAAAAAAAAAAGAAAAAAGAAAAAAGGAAAAGTAACAAGTTAAAATGCAGCAGCCTTAATGCAGTCTAAGTTCAACACAACCTTCTGTGCCACACCGGGTTAAGTTATTTCACACACCACATATTTGTGCTGATTGCTTTATCACAGGTGATAGTCAAAACAGAGCTCTGGGCTACCTGAATCACCAAATTACTAACAGGACAGATGGTGAATTCTATTACCACTACCATTACTCCTAAATGTGTCGAAAGATGTAAACACTCATTTAGACCACCTTCTGCCTACGAAGACAGGCTTATTCTCAAACACTATCTAAACTCCAAATATATTCAAAACCAACAGGCACCTTCAACTGGCTCAAACATCAGTGTTCACCGATGTCTCTCTGAAATGGCTTTTAGATACAAGCCAGGACTTCCAAACCTGTCCAAGGCAAACTTCAATACTGTAACTGACAGATTAAAAATACATTGAAGTTTTAGAATTGGTTGTAACTGCAGGTAAAATCAGTGCAGGAAACAAGAATTTGTTATTTAACGGTAGCCTACTGTGCGCATAGTTTTGGCAGCGCCAAGCAAATCCTTACATTAGCTTTGTAGAAAATAGACCACCTCATTGAATTTCCACCAAACTGTCAAAGGTTGTATTCCCACCACAGTGAAGTAATGCTGGTTACAGCACAGAGAAAAGACAATACTGTCTGATGGAAACTGGCTTCAGTGCTTCCAGCATTTGTGGACTACCACAAGAACTACACAGCCCACAACGCAGCTTTACACTATAGGCAGTAACAAACACCAAGGCATGTAAGCATGCACTGTAAGTATCTTTATGTAAGTATTTCAGCAGAAGTTCTCAAAGCAACCACAGTTCAGCTACAAGAGTGGGAACTGCTCTTTGAAATGAAAATCTAGCCATTTAAAGTGTTTCTACCACCATTTGTAAAACATATACTATTACCATACAAGATTAGGTCAGAGCTGAACTTACACAAGTAACTTGTTCACATTCAGACTAGCGTTCCCAGAGTTCGTGAAGTTGCACCAATCACAAAGTTTGGGGTTTTTTGTTTTGAGGTGGGTTATGGTTTTTCAGGGGGGCAGTAGAGCAGGGGGAAGGGTGTTAAAACAACACTAAAATGAACATTTCAACTACTTATGCAGAGGTTTCTACAAAACAGAGTACTCTGTGCAACATTAAGAGACTTTACAGCACTGTTTCCCACTCAACACAAGCAGACAGACAGAGCAGGTGGGAAAAAGCTAGGTAAGAAGAAAAACATCCCTCTTCTGATCTAGACGTAGCTACTTTTAGAAAGCTGAGGAGGAATTAGTTCTAATTATAAAACACTCCACTGAGAACAATACTTCAATCTTCTTTGCGCAAAGACAGAGCAAGGCAACACATCTGATATGGGAAACCTTAACTCCATCTGCAAAGCTCTTATCCAGATTTGAAATCGCTTTAAAAAATCCCCCCAAAAATCCCCCCAAACTACCCAAATTCCCATAGCTTATTCTCTGCAGAAAATGCTCTCAAAAGTTGTACCAGTTACCCGATTTCTTTCCTTGTTAGCATCCAGACACTTCTTTTAAGAACGCCAATACTACCAGATAATCAGAGCCAGTGGTATTGCATCTTGGCGTTAGTCCCCTCCAAAGTGCTCCCTTCTACCTTTGCTTACTGCACAGAAGCAGAAAAAGCAGATGGAGAGTTTCTTTCAGGAACATACCATGGCCAACACCTCATAAGCCTTCAGCTTTTTCTATGCAGCATTCAGCTTGATATCACTGTGAGGGTGGTCAGACACTGGAACATGTTGCCCAGAGAAGCTGTGGATGCCCCCTCCCTGGAAGTGTTCAAGGCCAGGTTGGATGAGGCTTTGAGCAACCTGGTCTAGTGGAAGGTGTCCCTGCTGATGGCAGGGGGGTTGGAACTAGATGATATTTAAGGTCCCTTCCAATCCTAACCATTCTATGATTCTATATCCTAGTCTTCCCAAGCAAGCCTTTAGGAATCCTTGATGCAGGCAGTTTCTGCTATAACATCCTAACCACAAAATTTGGTATTTTTACCTTATTTAATATTTTGACCATAATATATTAGTTAAATAGAGGCTTAAAAGCTTTTTTTCTTGATTCAGTACCATAAACCTCCAAAAAAGCTGACTGCAGAGCACACGCAGCAACATTTAGATTTGTAGACCTTTTTCCCCATCAGTTAACTGTCATTAACTCTAGTTACAGTATTACCCAAATTAGAAAGCTAGAAAGTCCTAATTTTTAATCTTAAACCCCAAAAAGATTCCTTCATGAATAACGTATTTGTGTAGGTATTCCAAGCCAATGAAACAGCTGAAAAACAAAGGGAGTGACTAAAAGATAAGTTATTCAGGCAAATGGAGCCATCTACAGAAATTTGAGAATCTAGGATCTCTAATATCACAAATACATTGCATGCAACAACGTTAAGATTTCTACTTACTTCCTCATTAAATAATTTGCTAGTTTCTTTTTTAATAGGGTCTATAAGTTGGACCTGGCCTGCAGAGAAGCCCACTAGAAGAGAGACACTTTCTGCTGTGGCTGTTAAGTGATTGAAGTCATGGCATGTAGGTTGTGTTCCTTTGTATATCCTTTTGTCTATTGGTTTACTCAAGTCCGCAGCCTGCAAAGAGAGCAAACAGAATTAAGACAGTTTATCACAATGTGTGCATATAACCAATTCTATTTGCAAATAACATTTATACTAAGCAACAATTTATGCAGTCACAAAACCCTACTTTAAAAGAAGCTTTGTATTTACCAAAGACATCCAAGATGTTGTCAAAAGGTTTATCTTTTCATGTAATGCAATACCTAAGGTTTTTCAATTTTGGTAAACACTACACCTACCCCAGCCTCTGCAGCTACAGCATTGACACACCAGTGACAACCATTCAGTAACACAACAGCTCCAGTGAGTCCCCAAGATCAACCCAGCCGCAGAAGGCTTCTCCTGCCAGAACAGGCATTCCATCACAGAGACAACGTATCTTCTACTTTCCTAGCAGAAGCTTTCTCGATATTGAGTACAACCAATTTTGGATTAAAACCAGCATATTCTCAAATCACCTGATTCTTGTAAGTCTATCCTTTTATAACAGGCAAACATATGATATTCGTCTCAATAGTAATAAAAAAAAAATCAGCTAGATCCTAGGAGAGCATTTCCTAGGAACACTGAACTCAAGATGCCGATTCTGTGATTATAAAATAAATTTTAAGCCATCAAGCTACAAAGTAATTGCGATTCTGACACTGAACATAGAATTCAAATTAGCTCTGACAAAATAAGTGCTAACAAAACTGAAGAACTTCAATATAAACAACTGAAGATCCAGCACTAGTGTCAAAAGAACGAAAAGGAACCGAAAAGCAATTCAAAATGCTCTCTCAGTTGTGTAACCCTTGTTTATCCCCATATCACTTCTGAACAGACAACCTAATCTTTCATCACCCAGAGATTAAAACCCACACATTTTATATGCAAGATCATACATCTGGTTCAACTTTTTTTTTTTTTTGAACCTCCCTATTTACCAGGTTCAGAGTCTGTAATTAGAAAGCTGAAGATACTCAACAATATTAGAGACCTGAGATGTAGCTGTGATTTGGGACTCAGATTTTAATTTTGACATATACTTTTTCAGTATTTTTACTCGAGGAGATCAGGCCAGCAATACAGGAAACAAAGCTTCTCTGAGGCAGACAACAAGCTTCACACAAAAGAAAACTGCTCCAGTGTATTAAACCTTTAAGGATGAAGTCTAAATAGAAGCAAATCCTTGGTGGGCATGGAGCAACACAGAAACTAGACCTGTCAGTAGGGAAAAATCATAACGTGCTACACCATGAATCATGTCAGGTGAGCCATTTCCAAGGCAAATTTAACCACAGGATACACATGATAAGCATATATACGCAACAGTATTGAAGTTGCACTTGTTTTGCAGCATATATTATAAACCAGTTTAATCAGGGGTATGGCATCCTGGTTGAAAACTGCAAAATGAGATGATGTATTCCATCTTCTAAAGTCAGCAGATTAAGAAGTTATTCCCCAGAGCCCAGAGATCCATTATAAGCTAAAAAGAATATTAGCAACACCTCTTCAAGGAGAACTTAAATAGAATACTAGCTCTACTGGGGGATCATAGGGTGAGGCACATGCCTACCAAGGAGCACTCACAGACAGAAGTCAATCTGTAATTTGAAGCTGAAAAATCAAATCCTAGAGGCCAAGCAGTTCTCTCTCCTATTGTGCAAGATTCCCTTGTCCTATATCACTACAAAGTAAGTGATATCAAGAGGTAACTCTGAAAATTGAGGTAGTGTTTCTATCTGTAAGACCATTCTACAGAACCACATAGAAGCATCCCTCTGTACCTCAAAGAAATGCAGAGTTAACAAGGTTAACCTGTGAGATTCGGGGTTGTGTCCTCTGGATAAAAGTTCCAGCAGGACCCAATGCCCAAGAAGAAAGATCTCTACTAAGGTAAATAGAACTCAGCCTGAATTACACTGAATGGTCACAGAACCACCAACACTCCCAGCCAGCAGAAAACATGGGTATTCCCAGGTTCTTCTCCTTCTGAATCCTCACTGTCCTTCTAAACAGCAAAGAATCAATAGGTGGCTGTTTTCAGACTGGAACTACACCTTGCTCTTTTGTCTGGTTGAGGTTTCCTATCACTAGCTTTTGTTTTTGTTGTCCAAAAAATTTGGTGTGACTGAAGTTCCCCATCTTCTGACATTGTGTGATAACAGATCTAGCAAGACATGAAATTTTGGTAAATTAAATCTAAGCACAGACTTCACTGTGCTTGTTCTAGCTCTTCTCTGGGAACCAGATGGCAGTGACAATCTGTCTGAACTTAAATGCAGTATAAATAAACTAATTCAGCCCAGAATTAACCAGGCTTCTACTGACAGGGATGCCTCGCCTTTTATTTACATGCAGCTAGTGTTTTCAGTTATAATATAGTATAATATAATACAACATACAAGCACAAAGCTACTCTTTTAGTCTTGATGTCTCTAAATTGAAAAGGTAGAGTCAATGAGCCTTAACAACTGGGATCCATTTTCTTTATTTCTGCACAGTTGAAGGTTGCTATTGGATTTTGCTAAGAACAAGAAAAGCGCTTACTCATAAAATTCAATCGTGCCTGGGACTCAGCATTTCATTACCTCACCACTAAGTCCATTTGCTATAGATATTTTGTGGAAGATTTTATTCTGAGAAAAAGAGCTTTTACATGAGATCTGAGTCCATAGCTGCCAAATCCTGGGATAGGACACTATTTACTGAACAAGGTGATGTGAACTGCCCCCCTCTCAGAAGAACGGCGATATACTTTGAAAGAGAACAGAAAGATCTTGGGATTAAGTGTTACCAATTTGGAGGTTAAAAGTACAGGATCAGACACCCTCACATCTGCTTGAGCTGGTACCAAGCTATTTGCATGCTTCCTGTTCCAGTTCCTTTCAAATTTTCATCTGAAAAACACTCAGCACTATTCCAGCCTGTCCACTTTGAGAAACTTGCTTCATTATGGATGATTCATGATGAGAGCAAACACTCTGTAATCACGACTGAAGGAAGGTTGTGGCATCTAATGCAAGGCTAAAAATCAGTATCATTCTCCCTTCAAATAAAATCTGTGCAAGCCATTGAAGTCCATCTTAGCTAATCAAGACTCTGGTATTAGCACCTTGGCCAACTGATACCTGCATTAGAAGTCTGTTCCTTTCAACAGACAGTGGCATTTCAAGTACCCCTTGGGCAAAGGAACAAGGAATAAAGATTATCAGGCAACAAGAATCCCACACACCACCTGTCTAAAGGCAGTGATGCAGCTGAAAAAAATAGGTGTACCTTGGGCAGCAACAGCTTCCAAGTCCTGTCTTTGAACAGATTAAAACTCTCTAGAAAACCTTACACTCATAGAAGAAAAACTGACTGATTTTGCCATTTAGTTCTTGGTGATGAACTCTAGAAATAAAACATGAACCACGTAACTCTTCTGGGGACTTCCTAGTCTCATTTAGTTAACTCTCACAGCATGCTCTTTCAGCAAAATTAACACCTCTCTGCTGGGTAGGGAGAAAAAAAAATAACCTAACAGTCTAGCAGTTGCCCATTCACCCTGAATCATGACTCCCAGCAGAAAGGCAGTCAGATGGAACATCATCTCCACAGCTTTAAGTACCTAAACATGAAAAACAAAATGGAGAAAAAAAAAAATCAGTTACCTCAGTCTGAAACAAATATTCAAGTTTTCAGATTTTGATGTTTGAAATGTCTGATTAGGATGGGCATCAATAACCTTGGTTCTGTAGCTGTATGTAATTCTAAGGTCAAAGCAGATTAATATCTGTCCAAGATTCATCCTTTTTATGTACTATTGATCTGAGACTTAGAGCTCTCACACTAAGATTTCCCAAACAGTGAATCACATTATTTCAAGTCAGCATTTAATCATGCTCCTGGACAGATGCAATTTTTTCTTGTATCTTTTCTTTCCGTAACTTATATCTGCAGTTTCCTGCAAATTTTAGTTGAATGAAATCTATCATAGATGCTACATTTCCTTCCAAGCTAAAAACCATCTCTGAGATCACAAAGGAAAGGAGTTATTTATTTATTTATCTCAGCTAATTTCAACTGTAGTCATCAAAAGGGTTCCTTCAGATACTTAATAGTAGTTAATATCACATTTGCCAGGAGACTGGTTTTCAATGGGTCATAGCTATAAGTGAGACTGAGACAGAATATTATGTCTTTAAGCTTGAAAGTTAGGGCAAGCATTTAATAAAAATTTTACTTCCAAAAATCCTCTTAAGAAAATCTCTCTCATCCAGATAATTAATTGATCTTGAACAGCAGATTACAGATTGGCTACGTATGTAGAGCTCAGAACAAAATAAAAGAGAAGACACAAAGAACCAAGATATTATACTCTTGAAAACTACTTCCTCAGCATTTCTGGAGCTTGGAATTCACAATTTATTACCTGTAGCCTGATATCTCTTCAATACCTCCCTGTCCAGGGATTTAATGGCCCCTGGTCTATAAACAGAACAATTTAAGAAAGCTGTGCCTGTTACAATGCTACACACGTAACATGAGAAATCAACTCTTCATATCATTGCCAAGTGAACTTTATTGAACTTCACAGATGCTCTTTAAACCCTAGCTGAAAAAAAGAAGCAAGGTAACCCTTGCTGCAGCACTTCGCCTTACAGTATCCACTAGTGAACAGGGCAGGGTCTTCCAGGAAAAACTACAGTGAAAACTAAACCAGGAGGCCCCTTACGGCTTGTTTATTCTTCCTCCACGTCTGTGCTGGTGTCCCTCTCCTTCCTGCAGAGCTAGCTGGATGGAGGACAGAGAAAGCTGAGGAGCACAGCAAGAAAACTGCGTTATCCTAGGCACTTTTGTAGAATTTTCTGGCAAACTCTGTTCATTGTTTCTGTACGTAAGTGTTTCTGCCAGAAATACAAGCTTCAATACTTCACACTAGAAATCCCTCTAATTACTTTATTATCAAAGGAGTAGACTTCCAGGGGGGGGTTGTTTGGGTTTTTTGTTTGGTTGTTTTTTTAAAGAGCCCAAAT